AACACACACACACACACAAACAAACAAACACACAAACAAACAAACAAACAAACAAACCGGACACACGATGCTTACCGGATCTCGTCACCGTAGGGGGCGGGGAAGGCGTCAAGGATTTCGTCAGCCTTGGCATCAATGTGCTCCATGAGGGTCTTGCGAAGCTGGGCAGGGATCAGGTCGATGACTTGGTAGATCATGTCGTGGATCTGCTTGGCCTTTGGCCGCACAACATGTGCCCAGCGTTCCTGCGCACAACATGGATAATGGGAGGGTAACGGGATCGATCAATCAAAACAAACAGCAGACAATGAAGAGTGGGATGGGAGGACATGCGCGTTCGTATGCGCTTGTGATTGCAAGAGAACAACAACAACAACAACAACAACAACAACAACAACAACAACAACAACAACAACAACAACAACAACAACAACAACAACAACAACTTAAACAACAACAACAACAACAACAACAACTTAAACAACAACAACAACAACTTAAACAACAGCAACAACAACTTAAACAACAGCAACAGCATGCACACGTACCTGTGGAGGGAGATCCAGGTCGATGGTGTGCCATGGAAGCTCGGTGTTGGTTGGCGGGTAGAGGGACTTCATGTTGCACTTGGCAGCCGCAGCCGCGGGCGCGGGCGCAGCCACAGCCACAGCCACGCAAGCTGTCACAAACAACACAGCGCGCACGTTCATCTTTTTGTTGCTTGTGCTTTGTTTTTTTTCTGGAGAGGAGAAGGTAAAAAATGACTTTCCGAAAGGTAAATTTTGCCTTTCCACACAATTGCACACAAACCCGACACAGCAAGCAACGCGCTGCGAACAGACACAGACAGACAGACAGACAGACAGACAGACAGACAGACAGACAGACAGACAGACAGACAGACAGACAGACAGACAGACAGACAGACAGACAGACAGACAGACAGACAGACAGACAGACAGACAGACAGACAGACACACACACACTACACACACACACATACAAAGACACACACACACACACATCACATCACATCAGCTCATACACCGCACAATGATGAATGCGGGGAGAAGAATACACGAAAGGGCCAAGGCAGTGGCATCCCTCGTGCCCAAGAGCATCTCAACCCTAAACATCGCTGGAGGAAGAAGAGGGCTGACGACTGCGGCAACAAGAATCTCGGCCACAGCTGCTGCAGCTACAACTACAACAACATCCACAACGGGAGCAATCAGAACGCTGATGGCGAGGGCGGGTGGGAGCACGAGTTGGCTGATGTCATTGGCAGCTATTGCGAGAGGAGGAGGAGGAGGAGGAGGACAGCCACAGCAGCGGCTGATGCGCTGGCTACAGACGAGTGCAGGACGAGCAGCCCGCACACCAGCAACAGCGCTCGTGGCTGAGAACACGACGATGGTGCCAAGAGCGGGTGGCCGGCGCACTCGGGGTTTCATGCTGTTGCACCATTTGCAGACGCAGCAGAACCGCCACTTGCAAGGAGCACGCCGGTGCCACTTCAGCGCCGTCAGGCGGGCGTTCTCGCAGCAGGCAACGCCTGCCGAGACAACTGCCCGGACACGCTTGTTCCCTTTTACGCTGCACATTCCGCGCGCGGGCTTGCGGGTGCTTGCAGGCGTGGCTGCCATGGGCCTGGTGACGTTTGCCATGCTGTACCCGTTTGCATGGGGGAATTCATGGGTGGACGCCCCGCGCGTGTTCTACACGGCGCTCAAACGCAACCTGGCCGACTTCTACTGCGTGCTGCGCATGGTGTACCACTACCGCAAGGAGCTCGGCTCGCTGCCGGAGGACATGGACCCAAAGGAGCGCGCTCGCCTCACGCACGAGTGCCACCTCAAGTGCGCCAGGCTGCTGCGCGACCTCTTCTGCAACAACGCCGGCATCTACATCAAGCTGGGCCAGCACCTTGCAGTGCTGGACTACGTCATCCCCAAGGAGTATGTGGACACGATGCAGATTATGTTTGACAAGGCACCCACGAGCGATCTCAACGAGGTGTTTGCCGTCATCGAGGCGGACCTGGGCAAGCCGGCCGAGGAGCTGTTCCAGCACTTTGACACCACGCCCATCGCATCTGCGTCGCTGGCGCAGGTGCACCGGGCAGTCACGCACGACGGCCAGAAGGTGGCGGTCAAGGTGCAGCACATGGGGTTGCGGGAGGAGAGCAGAGGCGACGTTGCAACTGTGCGTTTGCTCGTCGACATTGTTCGCTTCTTCTTTCCAGACTACGACTACACCTGGCTCATCGAGGTGCGGCAACGTCTCTCGCTTTGCTGTGTTTGTGTTTGTGTTTGTGTTTGTGTTTGTGTTTGTGTTTGTGTTTGTGTTTGTGTTTGTGTTTGAGTTTGTGTTTGTGTTTGAGTTTGAGTTTGAGTTTGAGTGTGTGTGTGTATGCGTACGCGTTCATGTGTGTGATTGTGTGTACGCGTTCATGTGTATGTGTATGCGCGTGTATGCCTATGGTTTTTGCGTTGGTGTGTTCATGTGTCTGCGTCTGCGTAGGCGTTCATATGTGTGCATATGTGTGTGTCCTTGTGTGTATTTGTTATTATATGTATTTTTCTTTGGCGTGCATTGTCACACATCACATCACGTCACATGACAACCTGTGTTTTGCGTTTCCACGCCTTTCCTCTGATTGCGCTCACATTGACAACGCAACACCTTTGCTCAAACCGGAACAGGAGGTGCAACGCAACCTGCCGCTGGAAATGGACTTTGAGCACGAGGGCGCCAACGCCGATGCCTGCAGGCACATGTTTGAGCACCGCGCCGACGTGGACGTGCCCGAGATCCGCTGGGACCTGAGCAGCAAGCGCGTGCTCACCATGGAGTTTGCAGAGGGGTGCAGCCTCTCTGACGTGGACGGCCTGCGTGACAGCGGCCTCAACCTCACCACCGTCTCCCGCATCGTGACGGAGCTCTTCAGCGAGCAAATCTTCATCCACGGCCTCGTGCACTGCGACCCGCATCCGGGCAACCTGCTTGTGCGGCGCGACGCACGCGGCGCCCCCGTGGTGGTGCTGTTGGACCACGGCCTGTACCGACAGCTGGACGAGGACTTTCGCGATCTCTACTGCCGGCTCTGGCGCGCTCTCATACGCGGCGACGCAGAGGACATCAAGATGTACGCAGAGCGCATGAACGCGGGCGAGTTTTACTTCATCTTCGCCGCCATGCTGACGTACAAGGGGTGGGACGAGGTGATTGGCGGCACGGCGGCTGCGCGGCTTGAGTTGCGAGGCACCGAGGACGAGAAGGAGGTGGCCCGGTCCAGTGTTGCAAAGTACTTTCGCGAGATCAACGCCTTGCTTGCACGCATTCCGCGCGACGTGCTGCTCCTGCTCAAGACGAACGACTGCCTGCACGGCCTGGAGAACAAGCTGCGCCAGGCAGATGCGCACATCATGCCGGGCCTGACCCACGCCACCATGGCGCGCTACTGTCTCCAAGGCATCCGCATCCTGCCCACGTACCACAACTTCCTCTCCGTGCGGCGCGACATGCTGCTGCTTGAGCTGAAGCTGTTTGCCATGTGGCTGGCGTTCCAGGTGCACGAGGCCACGGGCTACAATCCCATGCACAGCATCCTCCGCGCACTCGCTGCTGCGAGCGGCAGCGGTGGCCGTGCTGGCGGTGTCGACGTCGTTGTCGATGTCGATGCGGTTGCTGGTGACGGCAGCGAGCATCAGGTCAAGTCTGCGACTGAGGCGACGAGTGATGATGACGGTGCTGATGATGGTGGTGGCTGTGACAAGAGCAGGAGCAGGCAGACAAGGGCGCAGGTGGCAGCTGACGAAGTCGAGGCCGCTGCTGCCGTTGCTTCCCAGTGACCACCACAACCACCACCACGTTAACGGAAACAGCAGCGAAACAGCAGCGATTGCTTGATGTTGGTGCTGATGTGATGGCGCTGTGGAATGTGTGTGTGTGTGTGTGTGTGTGTGTGTGTGTGAAGTCGTGAGTGTGTTTGTGCGTGTGTGTGTGTGAAGTCGTGAGTGTGTTTGTGCGTGTGTGTGTGCCTGCGCGTGTGTTTTGCGTCGACTATTGGGTGACAGCGCCACTGTAAGATGTGCTCAATATTGTTATGATGATAAACAACCAATTCATGTGATGACTAGTTTATTGCCGCGTTGCCGACGGTGGCACATGATGGCCCACCACCTCAAACTGAAGCATACTGAACTCAAAAAACAAAACAAACCATGAATTGGCAGTGGAGGAGGCGGATAAGTTAGTTATACTTTGGAAATAACTGCGTTGCTTGTAACAACAGCTGTTCCTGGACACACATATGCGTGTGTGTGTGTGTGTGTGTGTGTGTGTGTGTGTGTGTGTGTGTGTGTGTGTGTGTGTGTGTGTGTGTGTGTGTGTACGTGTGGAGTGCTAGGGGTGTGAGAAGCGACCCTTGTTAGTTCTCTGTGTCTGTGAAGGTCCAGGTGATCTCTGCAATGGCCAGGCCAAGCTCGCCCTGCACGGAGTAGACAAGGTACACGCGACCGTCCTCCTCATAGATGGCGGGATCACGCAGCTCATGCACGGGCGAGTACGACACGCCAGGGTAGGACGTGCGAACGGGCACGTTGGCGCCTTCGTAGTCGTGCTCTGGTTTGATGAGAAGAATGCCATGCTGGCACTCCCACTCCTCCCACGGCTTTCGCAGGTCAATCATCGTCACGTAGATGGTCTCTGGAGTGTCATAGATGCGCGAGTAGAAGAGATACAGCTTGTGGCCGTCAACCCACACTGCCGTGTGGCGTGCTGGGTGGGCCCCTTGCAGACAGATGTTTCCCAGCTCAAAACTGGATAGGCCGTCCTCTGATCTTGCCCAAATGCCGCCCCTGGTGTTGTGTGCGTGCGTGTGTGTGCATGTTTGTGTGTGCGTGTGTGTGCGTGTGTGTGTGCGTGTGTGCGTGTTGTGTGAGTGTGTGTGTGCGTGTGTGTGCGTGTGTGTGCGTGTGTGTGTGCATGTTGTGTGAGTGTTGTTGCGCAGCGGCTTTCCAAGGTCATGCATGTATGTATGTGTGTGCATGTGTATGTGTGTGTTTGTGTACGCGCCGGGTGTGCAAGTGCGCCCGTGCGTGTCTGAGGGCGACCATACGGGATCCAGCATTTGTGCAAGTTGAAGCAGAGCGTTGAAACCAACCTCCAATAGTCCTTGGCGTAGGCATACCACATGTTGTCGTGGCGGAACACGCGGAAATAAGGCGGGCCAAGTTCTTGTGTGTGCGCCACGAATTGCTGTTTGGGAGAGCCAGCAGGAACAGTAGAGGCAGAGGCAAGTGGTGAGACGACACGCAAATGTCATTTGTCATCAAAATGTCACGAAGTTTGCACATACACATACGCACGCACCCGACTGCATGCAGTCACCAAACGATTCATACACGTACATACAGCCAAACAACACAACACAGCACAACACAACTACAACACAACCACAACACATGCAAACACAACACATGCAAACACACAACACACACACACGACACATACATACACACACACATACACACAATCTCTCACCAAGCCGTCGGTTGACATGGCCACGTAGGAGAACTGGGTGAGGTCTGCGTCAGAGCGGGGCTGGTGGAAGTACATGCGCAGCAGCTGGTTCTCCTCATCGATGATGATATCTGGACTGGCAATGTGGTTCGCGCCCGGGCCGTCCTCCATCTGCAGCACGCCGGGGTCGTAGATGGTGTAGGGCCCCGCAATGTGATCCGCAAACGCAAGCCGAATGTACGCGCCCTGCAACACGTGTGTTGTGTGTTGTGTTGTGTGAGATATATGCGAGCATGGACGTGCAGGTTTTGATGAGGGTGGTGGTGGTGTTGGTGGTGGTGGATGCACAGCCATGGACCACAACCATGTTCACGCAATGCAAGGACACACACACACACACACACACACACACACACACACACACACACACACCACACCTTGTGGTGGGCAAAGTAGAGGTAGTATCTGCCCAAAGGATTCGACACCCAAGATGGAACCTGGCAGGAATACGCAAACACAAAGGATGCATGCAAAGACACAGCGAACAATGAGCAAACAATAAAACGTAAAGACTGATGAAACATTCCAACCAGCCAGCAATGAATGGCCCTTGCCCGTTGCTGTGACGTGCTGCTGTCATGCATCCCACCATGGTTCACACGCCTGACCTTGATGAGGGAGGGCCCGTTGATGTTGGCGGCGATGATGGACGTCCAGTACGGGTCCAGGCCAAAGGTGTCGGCATTGACTGTGGGGTGGAAGACGGTCACGAAGGGAACAAGGCGAAGCGGGGAGAAATTTGTGAGCCAGTGTATGAAACATGGTGTGACATGCAAAGAAAGAAGTGTGCGTGCAGAGTGTCAGATGAGGAGCAGAGCGGACACACAAAACACATGAAAAACAAGGGGGTGGGTGGGTTGTTTGGTCATTGGCGGTGATGTGATGGGGTGTGAGAGCACAGCGAGACCCGTGACCGTGGTGAACTCACTGATTGGGCCGTTGCCAAGACGGTGGACTTGAAAGCGTTTGTTGTCGCCCGGGAGCACGCCGCTGATGCAAATGGTGTGCAAGCAATACAAAATGTCACGCGCGTGGGTGAGAACATTCGAGGGGCGGGGGTGATGTGATGTGATGTGTGCGCGTGCCGGTGTGCGCGTATGTGCATATGTGTATGTGTTTGTGCGTGTGTGCATGTGAGTGTTTGTGATGTGCGTGTTTGTGCGTGTGTGCATGTGAGTGTTTGTGGACATGACTCACCCTGCGTCTGGCACTTCTTTGTTGATGCAATACGAGACATAATCGCTGCAACAGTCGCCGGCGTTGACACACGAGGGGTCACACTGGCACGGGAGATCAGCCTTGTATGCGGTGTTGCAGCCGCGGTGGAAGCACGATAGATCCTCCTCCCTCACCGCAGAGCTGCTGCTGCTCGTGGTGGTGCTCGTTGTTGTTGTTGTTGTTGTTGTTGTTGTTGTTGTTGTTGTTGTTGTTGTTGTTGTTGTTGTTGTTGTTGTTGTTGTTGTTGTTGTTGTTGTTGTTGTTGTTGTTGTTGTGCTCGTCGTCTGTGCCTCAGTTGTGGTCCTTTCTTCGTTGCACAGGGTCCAGTAATCTTCGCAACAGTCCTGTGCAACCTTGCAATAGCTGTGCAAACCAACAACCAGCAGACGGCAACGACAACATGGGTTGGTAAGCGACGGATTGGGCAAACGATGACACAGCTCTGCTTAATACCTGCGTGAGCTTTGGCAAGACATGTACATGCGCTTGCATCAACTTACGAGTCGCATTGACAAGGACGTGAGGATATGAACGGGGATTCACAGCCCCGCTGTTTGCAGCTGTACACATCCACCGGGATTGTTGTTGTTGTTGTTGTTGTTGTTGTTGTTGTTGTTGTTGTTGTTGTTGTTGTTGTTGTGTGTTGTGTGTTGTTGTTGTTGTTGTTGTTGTTGTTGTTGTTGTGTGTGTGTGTGT